ACCTAGAGTAATATTTGGACAAGTCTGCCTTTCTGTTGGGTGGTGCTTGGCAGCAGTGTTCACCATACTTTTTATCACACCTAAAACACTCAGGAAAGAGGACCTCCAGAACTGCTTTAGGTCGACAAGAATGGTGGGCTAAGTGTGTCTGAAAGGAGGGGGAGTACTCTGAGGGCAAGTCATGGTGATGTCTTTTACTGTAATAAATTTTTAAAAACTTAAACACTTACTATACATTCCAATCACTCCTCATATCATTCTTTTACATTCCAGTCGAACTGTACAAAGTTGCTTATATTTCAGTTTTTTACCTAATAATATGACAGTTTCATGTTATTTGACCTGTACTTTCATCAGGGCTTCTTAGCTGCTGACACCCCCCCACACACACACACGATGCAGTACTGTCTGTGCTTGTCACTGTGCTGCTTTGTGTGCAGTAGTCAGTGTGTGACCCAGGCTCTCTGTGCGGCATGTGACCCTACGGATAAGCTGCTTGTCTTCATACTGACCAGGTCCTTCTGCAGGTGTGGAAAGAGCAGCTTCCCCCTTTCCCTGGCTCTCGTCTGCGCTGCCACAGTTCTTCGCTACCTTCAGTGAACATTCGTAACTACTGGAAATGAATTAGTGTTGTGGACAGCTGCTAAAAGTTGCAGTGTGCTTTGTTTTCCCCTTAGACTGCCTGTTCTGCCCAGGCATAAAGTCGTCACTTGCATGGCAACTGCAAGATGCTTTCATACTCAGTTCTGTGGTAATGGCCTGAATATGAAATCTGAAGAAGCACAAAGTAGGCCAAGCAATAATTGAATAAGAAATCCTTTTTTTATATTAAAAATAAAAGTATAGAAACTTTGAATTCAAGTGATTCAAGCACTTTAGTTTATGAAATTGGCTGAATTATTAGTTCTAGAACATGAGGGGGAAGGTAATAAGCATGTAAGTGTTCAAATTCAGTGACAGTCTTGCTAAATAGTTTTGTTATCGTAAAGGCTCTGTTAAACCCAGTCTTTGAGAAAGAGCTTCCTTTCTTTTAATTCTTTTAATGTAAGGCTGAGGAAGAAGAAAGGAAGGGAAAGAAGCGGGAGGGAGAGAGGGGCGCGGGGAGTGAAGCACCCAGAGGCCTTGATTAAAGGTAGTGCGGACTCTTAGAGTTGTTTCTCCCTCACTGAAGATTTTGCCTGTGTTTTCCATTTTAGCTTTGTGAAGTTCTATTTTTTGAAAGGAAAACATAGTTTCTTTTCAACGTTAGGAAAAAAGTGTTCTCTAGTTATCACACCCTCAGTGCTTTAGTGTTGCCCTGAGTATCCCATTATTATATGTATTTTATTAAAGAAGTTAGCCTTTGGGGCAGGCATTTTTGTCATATTTTTTTGATTGAAAATATTACTTTAGTGGGGTATGGTCCTGTGTGCCTATAACCCCAGCATTTGGGAGACTGAAGCAGGAGGAGGATCACCATGTGTTTAAGGCCAGCCTGGGCTACATAGTGAGACCTTGTGTCAAATTTTTAAAAAAAGGAAAATACTGTTTTTAGTTTTTCATTTTCTTATTTAATTATGCTCACAAAGGCAAAGCCTGACATGTGAATGCATGGTGTTGTTCAGACTGAAACAGCCAGCGCGTCTACTCTATGCCACTCTTTCTTCATAGTAGCTGGAGTTCCAGCTACTGCACCGTCTTGCTTCTCAGTACCATTTTACTACGTTTATTGGTACATTTTAGGTATACATAATAATTGCATTCATTATATGAATTTGTTCTTTTTTTTTTTTTGGTATCGGGAATTGAACTCACGACCTCATGCTTGCCAGGCAGGCGCTGTGCCACTGAGCTTTATCCCTGGCCTGGGAATTTGTACCTGTACATGATATAATGTGATTCTTTTTTTTCTCCATTCCCCTACCCTCTCTTCAACCCCTGTTCCGCTCCCTATTTACAAAAGCTTTGTTTCCATTTTTTTCTTCTTTTCTCATTTTTTCTTTCTTTTCCCTTCCTTCCTTTCCTCCTCCCCTCCGTAGTTCCCCTTCCCCTTTGGACTTTTCTTCCTATTTCACAATATTGATTAGAGATTTTGGTCCTTATTTACACTTTCAGTTTTTCACACCAGAAAAACAATGTGGTATTTGCACATGTGTGTCTGATTTATTTCACTTAAGAGTATGGCCTGAAGGTGCGTCCATTTACCTAGAAATGGCTCCAGCTTATCCTTTATGGCAGAGTAGTACTCCATTATATTAAAAAACACATCTTCTTTATCCAGGCATCAGTTGAAGTGCCTCAGTAAAATTGAAAGCTGAAAATACTCTTCAATTTTTCTTAAAAATTTTAAAATTTGTAGTTAGGATGCTTATTTGAAATTATGTCAGCCTTTTGTGGGAAGATATTGAATCATCTCAGAGGTGTTAAGTGGCAGGAATGCCATGTCAGCTCTAACAAGGAAAGTCAGTAAATCACTGTAACCGGAATATCCTTGTGTCTTAAGTATGGAGATGCATCCGAATGCTAGCGTAAGAATTGCCACGTCAAAAGACGAACGGTTTCATCTGGCAGTCAGGTTGTCAGGAAGACGTGCACTAGATTTGATTAGAAGGAAGCACTGTGGCCCCTCAGCCTGGGCAGAGGGGTGCCTCCCCTGGGTTCCTCCCTTGGGAAGCAGTGTGTATGGGCTGCTGGGTCCACCACTGCGGAATTCCCTGCATAGTGTCCTACCAAGGAGAGGGTGAGAAAAGAAAAAGGCAGGCAGTGGAGGTGCAGGTCCCCCTCTGCCTCTCATTGTGTGCTGCTTCGAGCAGCTTGAGAGTCCTGAATTTGAGCCCGGCTTTCTCGGACATTGTGAAGGTGCATGTTCCAAGGTGCAGCATGAACATACTGTGTTTGACAGTTACTTGTCTGATTTATAAACTGTTTAGACAGATAGCATACGGGGCTGGGGATTTAGCTCAGCGGCAAAAGCACCTGCCTGGCAAGCTCAAGGTCGTGAGTTTGGTTCCCGGTACCGGAGAAAAACCAAAAAAAAAAAAGATAGCATACGTCTGTGGTTGTATTCTCAACATGGGCCTAGAAAGGGTCTGCAGAAAGGGATGAGATCATTTGAACTTTCCTTTTTCCTTAGGGATGAGCCTGGTCATTTGACCCTGTGATTAGGCCTTCAGGAGAGCTTTAAAGTGGTGCTCTTATCTGCACACTGATTCAAGCCTGTGCCCTGGCGCCAGAGTCAGGTGACCTGAGGCGATGCCTCCTGGCTTTTGTGTGCAGAGGTGCACCCAAACGTATGTCCTTGTTGAGCTACCATGGTAACAAGTGGAAAGATTGGGTGACCCAGGTCTTTGGAGACGTAGGAAAAGGAATTTTTTTATTCAACTGTGGCTGGAATGTTTTCTTAGGGTTATATGTGTTTTTCAGGTTTCAGCTAACCACTGATTGTTATCTTTTGGGCTTTTTCAAAATCTAGGATAAATATTGTTTCTACCTACTTAAATACTTTTAGGTGAGAGAGAGGGTGTAATGAGGATAAGAAATGTATTATCAAGATTGATTCCTTTGCATCTCTAAGTTTGTTTTTTTGTTTTGTTTTGTTTTGTTTTGCTCTGGTACTGGGAACTGAACTCACGACCTTGCGCTTGCCAGGTAGGCACTTCTGCCGCTGAGCTAAATCCCCAGCCCTTCCTTTGCATCTCTATAAATACTGTTTTGTGAGAGGAAATAAACAAGTATCATCTGTCTATTCTAGTATGCTACTGATGTCCAAAGAGAATTTACAAGTCAAAATATTAGTGACTTTTATAAATTCTATACTAAATTATTCTAGTATAAATGGTATTGTTCTGCTTAGTATACAGATAACAGTTTCTGAGTTTACAGTATTAATTTTAGAGATTTTCAGTATTTATAGAAATAATTATTTTATTCAAGTCAATTTATATTGGTATTACAAACTTAGCATCTTCGGTTTTTCACTTCAGTTAGTTTTTGAGATACTAAAACATACACCCTGAAATTTAAAAGTTTGATAAAAGTTGGGTATGGTGGCACATACCTGTAATCCCAGCAATCTGGGAGACTGAGGCAGGATTGTAAATTCTAACCCAGCCTGTACAATACAGCAACTTAGTGAGACCCTGTCTCAACGATTAAAATAAAATTTAGCCTGACATGGTAATGCACACGTCCCAGCACTTGGGAGGCTGAGGCAGGAAGATTGCTGTGAATTTGAGGCCAGCAGTGGACTACGTAGTGAGTTCAAGGCCAGCCTGAAATACATAGTAAGACCCTGCCTCAAAAAGTGTCCAAAAAAAAAATTAAAACAAAATTTAAAAAGGGATAAGATGTAGCTCAGTGCAAAGATTTTTGTTTCAGTGTAGTACCACAAAAAAGTTAATTTTTTTGTTTTAATCATCTTGATATTTAAAATCTATATGCATAAGTAATATATACACACATAGAAGCACAATGAATATTAGAAATATCTCTTTGATGAATATAAGAAAAATATTCATTGTGTTTTGTGGTAATATTGTTAAGCTTTAAATACTTCAGCTTTGAAATTTTTTATTGTGTAAGAATGTAAATTAACAGATATTTTTCATGTATACAATTAATAGAATTGTAAACATAAAGCTTGATGGACTTCCTTAAAAAGTAAATTTACAAAAAATTATATTTTAATTTCTTAGGATGTAATGGTTTTGACATGCTAGGGTAACAAATGTGAAATAATGTTTATTTC